TATTTAGACATGATTAAATCAATTTTAGACCGTTTTACCTCGCTGGTTCCCTCAAACGCAAGTTCAAGGGTGTCCCATATCTCCTTAGCACTACTACAGCCAGAGATACGATTTGTTTCGGTCTCACCTATTGCTTGTTGTAGTATTGACATTGCCTTAGCATTCTTCTCCAGCAACTTGTAATCAGCAGTGACCAATTCGCTATCTTTCTTGGGAACCTGGTTCCCCTCAACATCTGTCTTGAGAATGATATTAGGACCATTTTTAACTACGAGCCAGCATTCATAATCAATACCCATGATAACATTCTGGATCCTGTTCTTCCACCAAGCATAATTATTTCCATTAAACTTGGGTGACTTGTTGTCATAACCGATTGCACTTAATTCTTGAGTACTCATTCTTAACTCCTCTAGATGTTACTCTTTCGAGAAGCTTAGGCTCTGATACCAATTGAAGGTTCAATGGGCACTCAAGAGGGGGGGGTGAATTGAGTGTTAAGTAATCGTTGGCTAATTTTGCTTCTTTTCGGATTATGTGTGAGGAACCAGTTGTGCTGGTTCCCGTACGCAGCGGAATATAAATAAGCAATAAAGAAGACAACAAATTTAACGAAACAAAGCAATAAAGAACACAACAAATTTAACGAGGTTCAGCCAACTCAGGCCTACGTCCTCCTATCCTAAGTTCTTTATTAATCTACTCCGAAAAACAAAGACAAAGAACACTCTGCTGTTCCCTACTCCGGGAACCAGCAAACCCCACACTCTACTCCGAGTATGCTCTCAACTTACCCTCGTAAGTTCTAAACGTGTTTGAACTCACAAACACTCACCCAGCCTTTAGCCTCTTTGCCAAAGACTCAATTACAAGATCAAAACTCTCTAATGATCTAACTCTCAAAAGTTAATGTAGAGAAAATATTAAACACTAGATGCTCTTGTATATGACTTGATGAATGGGATTAGTGCTTAAGTATATGCTCTCAAATAATTGCTCTTTTAATTTCTGGAGAGGCACACGAAATATGTGAAATAAGATGAGTTTATATAAGCTTAGATTCCTAAAACCTAGTTTCCTTAAATCACACAATCTTAGAGAATAAGATATATTGTAATTTTAGGAAAGTATTTATCTTATTTGATTTAATCACAAAGATAGAATCAATTAAGATAAATACTCCTAGTTTTTAGGTAACCAAGAATATTTCATCTTATTTCCAGCTGCACAAAATATTTTCAAAATAATCTTTTCGAAAAAATCTTTTTGTAAAATCTTTTTCCAAAACGGCAGCTCGAATATTTCGTACAGTGAACCTGGTTCCCCGACCTGGTTCCCTGAATTGAAACATGTTATGAAACCTGTTCCAACTTTGTACCAGATTTCATATCATACTTCAATATACTTTTAAGCACTTATATAACCCAAACATGCAAGCATACTACGGAGCATATTACATGAAAACCTAGATAACATATTAAAGCATAAATCGTCTTTTCTTCATGTAATCTTCAAGACTTGAATCTTCCTTGAATACTTCTATTATGAGCAAACAATCTTTCTTCGAAATATCTTCGAAAGGCTTCTATGCTCCAAGTCTTGGAATCAACTCAACTACTGCACATGTAACATGGTTAATGCACAATAAAGAGTATGTGACTGCTTTTCCGCATAGCAGTCAAGGAAACGGTTCATACTGGTTCCCCACCAGTACATAGCACATTTATCATCTAACTGTTTCCTGTATATAGATAAGTTAGTTCAATAGATAACTCATATAATCAATAACTTATCTAGGAAAACAGTGTTCTATTATAGCTGGTTCCAACCAACTGTTTTCAACACTTATTAAAACCTGTTTCCCATAGCTGTTTGTCATCATTCAAAACCATCATTCAAAACCTAAGGGACTCAACAGTTTGCTAGTGATTATTAGTTAAGGGATTTGTCTTTTAGCATGCCTAATATTAATCCAATTTATTTTACTACTCAAACTAATTGGTTTATGCATGTGTCAACGATTAGCTAAAACAACACTACTACTTTAACCAGTAGCTAAGAACTTAAGATTAATACAAGTAATGTTTAGTTTTGATTTGTCCTTAAATTACTTTATATTATTCTTGGTTATAATTATTTTTAGATGGGATGTGGACAGTACTCAGTAGTATAGTAGTAGTAGTAGTTGGTTGATGTGTTAGACAAGAGAAGAATAATGTGACAATTGCTCAATGTTTTGCTTGTAGCTGAAAAAGTAAGAATGAAAGAGAGAAATATATAATTTTCTTACAAATGACAAATTCTTGATTTTAAAGAGAAGAATACATTATTTGACATCAAATTATAAGCTTCCTCTGCTAAGTTGAGTGGCTGGTGAGCCAAAAAGACTAATAATGTGACATAATTGGGAGTTCTCATCCGATAATAGGATGTCAAATCAGATGTGTGCACTTAACGTAATACATCTGATTTGTTACCCTTGCTCTATCCCTGCTTCATTCTAAAGCGTCTAGCTTATTGACCTCGGTCCAGTGATTTATCAAGGGTTTTGATTAGGTAGCGTCCTTACCTTAATAATAATTGTGTTTGTCCTGTCGTTCGTTCTATTATTCCCTGGGATCGATAACATGACTTATGATGATGTACAAACAAGTTTAGTACCTGCAATTTTCTAATGAATAGAATAATACTACGTAGTTATATTATCTTTGTATTATCACGTTCTTAACACATATCTATTATATTTCATTTTTGGCAATAATTGGTAAGTGGGTTAAAAAAAAAAAAAAAAAAAAACCAACTTGAGAGTGATGAAATGTCGAAAGGATTTTTCAAAAAAGAAATAAAATAAAAGTGAGTTGAATTTTTTTAGATGACTAGAAATAAAAAGTAAATTAAACATTCAAAAATGATCCGAAGGAGTATAAGTAATTCTAATTAAATATATAATGCTATAATGATTGGGGTAGCCTTCTCATTTATGAGTAGAACACACTAGTGGGCAGCAATTTTATGATATAGTAAATTGTAGAGCTAATCATAAGCACTAAACAACCTAATTATACGAGTAATATGATTTTTTTATTTTATTTTATTTTTTATTTTTTTTACAAGAAGCTAGAAAAGGGATTTTATTAATGAAAGATAGCCAAACGACACTTACAAACAATTCCGAGGAAAATTAGAATTCCAACACAAGTACAAATCACCTTAAAACTAGTTACATCGCAGATTCGATCGACGATCACCTTAATAAAAAAAACTTCATCCGAAGCAATACAATCTGTGAGTTAGCACTATTTCGGCTTGAGATCCACTAATGACGAATAGTTGTTTGAGTGAAAATACTCATATGGTCTTCTAGATACTTTCGGAGATTATGAAACCCGAAATCTTCAATCTTCAGTAGACAAACACGAAAAGAAATTAACCTTAATAGAATAACCACCATCTCAAAGATGGGACCCAAATATTGAAAGCAATTAAAAAGTTTTTTTGGGCTTACCATCGACAAAATCACCGATGGAAACCCCTACAAAGATTCACAAAAGAGGTTAGAAGAAAAGAGATGAAAGAGAAAGAGAGAAAAGGAGAAGAATGAAGGAAAACCTTAAAAACAAGCAGAAAAAATCTAGCAATGGAAGCTAGAAAAACCCTCCCAAGGGAAAAAAAATCCTAGAGTGAACCAGAAAAACCCTTCCAAGGAGAAACCCTAGAGGGAACAACAATAATAATTCGGATTTTATGTTACATAATAAAGGAAGGATTATCTGAGAAGGTTAAGAGAAAAACCTAAGATCCTAAAATTGAGTTTGGTAGAGAATCATCTTGATCCTTAAATTTAATCTTCATAAAGCAATAAGTGTATGCCAATTACCCCACTCCCTTTCCTAATCAAAATTTTAAGATTACATTTTACATATCATTTGAAGGTACAGTTTGACACTTATCAATATAATCTTATCTTGATACAAATGTTTTGATTTTCAGTTATGTACATCAATTCACCTTATCTTGAGACAAATATCGTGATTACTAGCTTTGTACATCATTTTGATGTATTAGTATGAATGTAGGACTACAATCAAATTAACAATTGCCTTATCTTGAGACAAAAATTTGTGTACCAAGTTTTAATTCGTTAAGAGCACTCCCAGCAGTGAGTGAAAAAACCCTCACGAGAGAAACTTGAGGTGTTAAAAAAAAAACCGTACTCTACAACAATGAGGATAATTCCTCTCATCCTTGAGGAGAATGAAAAACGCTCATAACTTGAGGGGATTTAAGAATGAATAGTGATTGTGTGGGGCCCACGAGCTGTTGACGCCACTTGCTTCAATTTGCTGAGAAAAGAACCAAAACGACAGTGTTTTGGTGCTGCATGCATCAAAAACAACGCCGTTTGGTTTCGTTGCCAGCAAAAAAAATTTAAAATGCATGGGTACTAGCACGCGTCAGAGCAAGGAATGAGGAGGCGACACGCGTCAGTCCCATGTAATTGAGCCAATCAGATTTTTTCTCTTTTTCCCAACGGTTATATTCAAAAAAAACGGTAATATTGCCGTTAAAAATATAAAAAAAAAATCACCAACGGCCATAAAATTTTTTTCTCTATAAATAGACATGCATTTTGATATATTTTGATATACTTTCAAAAACACCAAAAATCTCCTATATTCACTAATTTCCTAATCCTCACTTTTATTATTATAATTATTATTTACGTTTTTCTGAAAAAAAAAAATATTATTATTATTATTATTATTATTATTATTATTATTAGTGTTATTATTATTATTATTATTGTTATTGTTATTATCATTATTATTATTATAATTATCATTAATATTATTGCTGTTGTAGCTGTTTTTATTTTTTGAAAATATAATTTAGTTTTTGTTCTTTTAGTAATTGTTGATTTTTTTACTAATTATTGTTTAAAGCTTTATTTATTTTTTCCAAAAATAAAAAGCTTTATTACTTTTCTACTCTATTAACTTATGGATCCTAATAACCCTAATTTTTCTAATCATTTCTCTGATTTGGGTGATGATTTTGTCACTAATTCTCGATTTCATCTTTTCCTACAAAGGCTTGGAAACAATTCTTTGCAAAATTCAACACAACAAACACCTCATCAAACTCCTTTCCAAAACACTACCTATGAACCACATTCACCTCTTGTTTATCAAGGCACCGATTCTCAATTAGATGATGAAATGGAAGAAAATGTTCCAGACACTCCTCAATACTCTCCACCTCCTTCAAGAGTGTCTGTGAATCAAAACCAACCACTAACAAAAGGAAGTCGAATGTGGTCTGTTGCGGAGGATGAAGCTCTAATTGGTTTGTATCTTCAATTCAGTGAGGATGCAATTGTTGGTACAAGCCAAAAAGCAGTTGCGCTATGGCGAAAAATATCTGCAGCATATGATCAAGCACAGGTTGAGAGACCCCACATCCTGCCGCCAAGACCTTTGAGGAGTTTGGAAAGCCGTTGGAGAAGGATGGCAACTGATTTAATACAATGGAGTAGTTGCTATGACGAAGCTGGTAGGGCAACTGGAAGTGGTTACAACGAAGCAGACCGAATTGCAATTCAGAGTGCAACGACACATCAATTTTATTGCAGAGATTGCATTGAAGTGTCATATGGACTATATATACATGCATGACACATCAATTTCATTGCAGAGATTGCAATGATACATGAATTTCAATTCAGAGTTACTCACATGCAAAATCAGAGCAACTCATGATTAGGGGATTTTTATCCACCAATCACCGTCTGACAAGTGGACCAACCAGGTTCCGCCACGTGTCCTTCACGAAGGCCAACAGGAGCTTGCCACGTGTCAGTCACAGATACGTCCTCCACGGACCACTTAAGACACGCCACGTGTCCACCCATGCCAAGTGGGACAACCGGCCATCAAGGCCCATTTCAGTCTAGAGGCCCGATCAGCCCTAGGTTTACCTTAAGCCTAGAGAGTTGCACGCTTCCCAAGGCTATAAATACTCGATTAATCCTCATTAATCAGGGAACAAAAAAAACAACCGAATAATTAAGAGATCAAGCAGAGAAGAACAGACTTATTAACAACCGGCTAATCTCGCTAACGACGCAGATTACCAACACTAAGCACTCTCACCTAGAGAGATCTCATTACTTTACTTTCTGTATTGATTACTCCTTAATCAGGTACTAACTTGACCGTTGGAGGCGGAGCTCTCAGGAGTCTCCGTTATTTTGCAGGTACAGACGTCCGGTTCCAGTCTCGGAATTGTAACTCTCCCGCAGGACATCAGAAAACCCCGAAACATTTGGCGCCGTCTGTGGGGAGAGTACTTCAGAGATGGCATCCAAGTCTGTACCGACTCCAGAAGAGAGGCGTCCCCTAGACGACCCTCAAGTTCAGTCGGACCATGATACCGAAAGTGAATTTGAAGTTGAAACTCATACAGCTCCAGACGGGACCCTAAGGGCCCGCCGTACCCGTCATACTGAAATAAGGGAACGGGAGTATCTTCAAACAGGAAGCGAGCCAGCAGGCGCACCGCTTGCTCGGCAACAGCCGACTGATGGGTCTGCTCCCATCACAAGGAACGAACTCATGACCTTCATGAGGGACTTCAAGGGAGAGATCCAAGAGTTGATCAACAAAAAACCGCCTGCTTCAGTCAAAGAGCAGTCGGCCAAGAAACCTTCCACTTCACTGAGGAGGAAGCCAGTTCAAGGGCGAGAGGCGACTCCCCATCCTAAATCCAAGAAGCGGGAACCGTCTGCTCTTGATTTCACAAAATTCCGTTACCCTACGGGAAATAGGAAACCGGTTCGTCATATTCAGGCGGACGGGTCAAAGCAAACGTTCACAGATGCTCGGCACCTGCTAGAGCAGAAGAAGAGTGACCGATTATCAGAGTCGGCTTCTACTTCAAATTTTCAGGACAGTTTGCGAAACGCCTCGATGAGGCCAACTCAGTCGTACCATGAGAGTCAGTCAGGCGGCACCTCCCGTCAGTCCGACTTTCATAGTGCCCAGGCGGTACCAAACTTACCATTTGTGCCGCAACAACAGTATTTTATGCAGCCACCTCCATTTGGTGGACCTGCAGCAAAAAACGTCCAACCTATGGACTGGCAGCTACGGCTGCTTAGACTTGGTGAACAGCCGTCGGCCTTCTCCAAGGAAATTACTGAAGCCGCTCAGCCGGCCAAAGTAAAAAATGTTTTAGTAGGCGCCTATGATGGCACTACTAACCCGGAAGACCATCTGATGGCATTCACCAACCTGATGTACCTTCAAGGGTTGGATGATCCCACTTGGTGCAAGTGTTTCCCAGCGACTCTCAAGGGAATTGCACAGCAATGGTTCGGCAACCTGCCGACTGGTTGTGTAAACAGCTTCAGGACGCTTGCTTACTTATTTGCCTCCAACTTCGCAATGAACATCCCTGCGAAGAAAACGACCCTTGATTTGGGAACAATTCAGCAGGGTGAAAAGGAGGGGCTTCGTTCCTACATCAGGCGGTTCAACCTGATGAGAATACAGATTCAAGGGTTACCGGATGAGGTAGCTTATACTGACTTTTTTAGAGGTCTCAAAGACGGGTCTACCTTCAAATTTGATTTAGTTCGAAAAAGGGTGGCGACTCTTCAAGAGGCCTTGATTGAAGCAGAAGCCTATATACAGGCGACTGATCTGTGTACGATGAAACAGTCGGACGGGAAGAGGTTCGACAATAGAGAGGGACGACAGAAACAGTCGTCCAACAAGGATGAAAAAAGAAAAGGGGTCTGGGCGGCTGATTCCTCTAAACAGCCGGCCCAGAAAAAGAAAAAAGAATTCAAACCATACTCCCCAAAATATGTGTTTAACAAGGATAACCAGTTTATCCTAAAAGAAATAAAGGGACGGCTCTCAATTGAGAAGCCGCTCCCCATGAAGGGTTCTGCGAGCAACCGGAACCAAGACAAAATCTGTGCTTATCATGATGACATTGGTCATCACACCAATGACTGCATCAGTCTCATGCGGTACCTAGACCGATTGGCTGATCAAGGTGATCTTGACACTTATGTCAAGAAATCTGCGGGAAACACTTCCTCAAAAAAAGCAGTCGGCCAAAAAGAATCAGCAGGCCGACAGTTCTGATACAGATGATGCAGTCGTCTACACCATTGCAGGCGGCTTCTCAGGAGGCGGCCCCTCTATTAGGGGCAACAAAGATAATATAAGGCGGTTAGATGTAAATTCCGTTCACCAAGAACGACCGTCCAAATATACATTTCCTGAGATTGTCATCACTGAAGAGGATCTAGGAGGAATAAGGGGGCCGCATGACGACCCTCTCGTTATTGAATGTAAAGTGGCCAACCAGAGAGTTGGTCGAATCCTCATAGATACCGGGAGCTCTTCAGATCTCATCAGCAGCAAATGTCTATCAAAACTGAAATATCAGACGGACTGCATACATCCGGCCTCCCACCCCTTAATAGGGTTTGGGGGAGGAGTCGTCCACCCACTGGGACGAGTAGATCTACCCATCCGCCTGGGCGAAAAAGGGGAAGGACGACACATGGTAGTCCGGTTCCTAGTGGTAGAGGAACTCTCTGCCTACAACATGATTCTGGGTCGACCAACCCTAAATAATTCCAAGGCTGTTATAATCCCGTCACTTATGCTGCTTAAGTTTGAAAGGGACAATGGAACAGTCGGCTCCCTTAGGGGAGATCAGAGGATGGCCCGAGAGTGCTATCTCTCGGATGTCAAGCCCACTGTTATGGCCACTGGGTCAAGTGGAGAAAAAACAGACCTTGACAATGTCAAGGAAAGTGCGCCTGTTCAAGAAACAGGCGACAAAAAGAGAAAGGCACTCCAGACTGAGTCCGCAAGAAAAGCAAGAAAATAGCAATCATTGGCAGAGGACCGGCCGGATGAGTTCCGCCCTCAGCCGGCTGGTGAGCATGCGGACCTGATATTAGACGACTCCCATCCTGACCGAACAGTCAAAGTAGGGACGGCTGCTCTAAGAAACCTTGGTGCCGACTTTCACAACTTGTTGAAAGAATACAAGGACATCTTTGCATTTGAAGTCCATGAAATGCCAGGCATTAGTCCTGATCTGGCAGTACACAAACTCGCTGTGGATCCGAAAAAGAAGCCGGTACGGCAAAAGAAGCGGAACCATGGTGAAGAGAGAGGTCAGGCGGCAGCCGCCGAAGTCAAAAAATTACTTGATGCAGGGTTCATTCGGCAATGTTACTTCCCAGATTGGGTTGCAAATGTGGTACTTGTTAAAAAGCCGAATGGCACCTGGCGAATGTGTGTAGACTACACAGACTTGAACAAGGCGTGCCCCAAAGACAGTTACCCTCTGCCTAAAATTGATAACCTGGTCGACTCAACAGCCGGCCATGCCTTGATGAGTTTTATGGACGCCTATTCTGGTTTTCATCAAATTCCTTTGTGGAAGAAAGATCAGGAGAAGACGGCCTTCGTCACTGATCAGGGATTATACTGTTACACGGTCATGCCGTTTGGTCTTAAGAATGCTCCGGCTACCTTCCAACGAATGATAAACACAGTGTTCTTTGATCAGATTGGGAGAAACGTCGAGGCATACATTGATGATATGATTGTCAAGACTAAACTTCAGAAAGATCATCTGACGGACCTCCGAGAGACTTTCGCCACACTCAGGCGGCACCATGTCATGCTCAATCCCAAGAAATGTGTATTTGGAGTTGAGTCTGGGAAATTTCTCGGATTCCTTATCAACCAGAGAGGAATAGAGGCGAACCCCGAGAAGGTACAGGCGGTCATTGACATGCAGTCGCCTCGTACCGTTCGAGAGGTTCAGAAGTTAACAGGTTGTCTGGCGGCCTTGGGAAGATTCCTAAGCCGATCAGGCGACAAATGCCTATACTTTTTCCAGGCAATTAAGAAGAAGGCAAGGTTTGAATGGGGGCCGGATGCTGAGGCCGCCTTCCAGAAATTAAAGGTTCACTTGCATTCCTTGCCGAGGCTGGTTAGCCCTTTGCCCAAAGAAAATCTCTACATGTACCTGGCCGTCTCTGATCATGCGTTAAGCGCGGTGCTCCTTGCTGAAAGGGACGGCTGTCAACTCCCGGTCTACTTTGTCAGTCACGTACTGAAAAATGCCGAGTTGAGGTATCCCCTAGTGGAGAAATTTGGTCTTGCACTCTTCATGGCTGTTAAAAAATTGAAGCCCTACTTTCTGGCACATGCAGTCGTCGTGTATACCGACCAACCGATCAAGCGGCCCCTTACCACCATGGAGTCCTCCGGACGAATGATCAAATGGGCCATAGAAATGCAGAGTCTCGAAGTTACTTTCGAGCCTAGAAAAGCAGTGAAGGGGCAAGCCTTTGCTGACTTTATCGTAGAGATGACTCGTCCTCCTGACTCTCAAGTTCCAGACCAAGTCTGGAAGGTATATGTGGACGGAAGCTCTACTTCAAACGGTTGTGGAGCAGGCGTCGTATGTCAATCTCCAGAGGGCGACAGGTTCGAGTATGCTCTACGCTTCAGTTTCCAGGCTTCAAACAATGAGGCAGAATATGAAGCTTTACTAGCCGGGATCCGCATGTGTAAGGCGGCAGGGGCAAGGAAAATAGACGCCTGTTCTGATTCACAACTGATAGTGAGTC